ATTTTCAGCAAAAGCTTGAAGACATAAAAAATGGGGCAGCCTATGAAAGCTACCGCAATCCCTCATAAACCAAATTCATAATACAATCATCAATAACTTTAACCCACAATACACACACGTATATATAAATAGAGGTGCAAACATTGTAGTGGATAAAGCGTAAACAGACTAACAGAAGGGAGAATTACCTGATGAACAGCTTGAGAAATCTTCAGTCTATTTCTGGAGTAATAGATGAAGATCAGTGAGAATTAGGAGATTTAGTTAAAATCTATATAACTGCTGTTGTCAAGTTTTTCTGTTAAATATGACGTAACATTCTTGAGAGAGAGAGAGAATTTAATAATGAAGTAAGAGTTCAACAAACAAATTCAAACCCTTGATAGACAGAAAATGATCTTTGAAATTTTATTATGCATTTTACTGAACTACATAACAGAAATGAAAAGGCAAGATCAAGAGATAGTGCATTTATGTATGTATGAGCTTCGTACTTTGAAGACTAATCTATACATATGATTGAAAATCAGTATAGAAAAGACAATTACTGCGAATCGTATTCGCCCTCCGTCATGTCATCCTCCTTAAGAGAATTCAGTGATTCCAGAGGAAGCTGGCTCCGGTACTGCTGCACCACCAGAACTGATGCTGTGGTCGAAAAATTTGGGGAAATTAACAAATTTCCGACTGGTCCCAACTCTGGACACTCCCTCCTCCTGTTAAGAGCTGTCACCAATTGACCCTCCGGCATTCTCCCTACGAGAAACAGATTGCAACGGCTATATGAGCAAATCACGTCAATAGTTTCCTGAGCATCTTTTATCATCCTCTCTTCAAATTTAATTGAACTGTCCTTTGATACTTTCTCCTTAAACACCGCAAGAAATTCTTCATCCTCTACTCTAGCTTCGGGATGATCTTGATCTTTAATATCTAGCTTGACACTCTCCCCAACTGCCTTAGGGTCTGTATTAAATTGAACAACATTCAAATTGATGCCAGGGTGCTCGGCCATTCGTGCACCATACGAAAGAGCTTCACGATCATCATGGCCTCCAAAGAACAAGACTGCAATAGTATACTCAACATTACTTGCAGATACATGTGAAGTACCACCAAGCCCCCGATCAACTAAAATACCAACCGAACACGGCGCATGCTCAAGAACCCTCCTGTTTACATGTGCCAAGTCAGCTCGTGTTGTTTCCAAATGTCCGTCAAATCTCTGATGCTTATGGAATGGGAGAATTATCATTGCTACTCTCTTCCTCTCAGCACTCGAACAGATGTCCTCGTGCATGCTAGACATTGCTGAGATTGCAATTGTTGGTTGGATAGACACTTGGCTAAGATGCTGGAATGCCTCAAAAGCAACAATTATTTGGTTAGGATCAGAATCTTGCCACTTATTCCAAAATGGCATCCCATTTTTCCTTGCTTTATGAACCATTAGTATTGCAGATGACCTTTCGGAAAGCTCCATCAGGTGCATGGCATAGACACGAAGTCCTTCTCTCTTTCCAATGCCACGTGAAGCCTCCATGAGATTAATCAATGTGGGAACATTTCTTGTACTCAAGAAACAGGTCAGTATTCGGAGTTGACTGTTTGAGTCCTTCCTCTTAATCATTCTGTTCTTGTATTGTGAGGTAGCCATTTGAGCCGGTTTGTATACGGATATAACAAGAGGCGTTGTTATAAATGTCGTGAATAAAGCCATTAAAACCATGATGGCAAATGTTTGATCATTCAGAACCTGAAATTTAAAGAAAAAATAAAAATGATCAAATATGGATTTGAGAATTCCAGTGCAATCTTGAATTATTCAAATACTCAAACATGAACTTACACCTCGGTCTTTCCCAATGTTAAGGACAATGAGCTCCACTAAACCTTTAGTGTTCATGAGGAAACCCAGACTAACCGCCTCTTTAAAAGGCATCTTGTAGAGCAGCGAGACGACAATAGTACCACCAATCTTTCCGAAACAAGCAGTAAAAATGACCAGAACGAGAAGACCCCATGACTGAGCTCCTTGAATGGTGGCTACATTTGTCTTCAGTCCACTTGAGACAAAGTATAAAGGAAGAAACAGGCCAGACACAAGATCCTCAACCTTTTCCACAAGAGCTCCTGCAAAGGGTCCCTCCTTCGGAACAAGAACTCCAAGAACAAAAGCCCCAAAGAGAGCATGAATTCCTATAGAATCAGTCACAAATCCGGCAGCCAAAACAGCAACCAATGTAGCACATACGTATAACTCATCTACTGGCTCACCCTCAGGGCAGCGTCGTGCCATCCATTTGAAGATAGGTGGGGCTATAAATATGCATATAACTACGAAACCTAACCCGCACAAGAAGACCCACAATGAAACGAGGGGAGAACTGTCGGTGCCTGATAGGGCAATAGCAAGAGCAAGTAGAATCCAAGCAGCCACATCATTGACTGCTGCAGCAGACATGGCTATTTGACCAACATCGGTGGTTAAAAGCTTAAGTTCTGCCAAAATTCGTGCCAAGACAGGAAAGGCAGTGATAGAAAGTGCCACTCCCATAAAAACCAGAAATGGACCGTGACTTACACCTTTGGAAATAGTTTCTCGAAGCACAAATGAGCTCCCGATTCCTAAAATAAATGGAACACTAATTCCAGAAAGGGCAATGCTTAATGCCTTTTTCCCAGTACGTTTTAGAGACCTTGGATCCAGCTCAAGGCCAACAAGGAACAAAAAGAAGAGAAGACCAAGGTTGGCAAGGGTATCCAAAACTGTAAGGCTTCTGGGTGGAAAAAGAGCATGAAGATACTTATGGTTGCGCCCTAAGGCGGAAGGACCAAGTAAGACTCCTCCCTACACAATAAGTCAAATCTTCAGAGAAATTGAAGGTTTATAAATCACGCCTTACACAAAATTTACATGCAATAACAATATAATTGTTGTTAATAAAAATGAGTGCACGTTATAGAAAATTACAACTATCTCAGCAATCACACGTGGTTGTCTTAATGGTCTGAGAAGATAGGCGAGCACTCGGGATAGCACAGCAACGAGGCATATTTGCAACATCACAAGAGGTAGTGCATAATCAAGAGGATTGTCCCCTTGAAAGGCCCCATCAGATGTGGCTTTCATGGGTGGCGCACATTCGACTGTAGTATTAGAAGCCATTTTGCAGTAAAATAACCCAACCAAACCAGAAATAGCAGAATTTCACTTCAATGCCTGTGTGGACAACCATTAAATAACAATAAGAACATAAGTTCACCAAATATATGAACAAATTTTTCGATAGATAAAGTATTATGGCCCAAATTCTAAATAAATAAAAAGTTTTCAGCAAAATGGAACCCAATTAAGCGTCTTCTGTTAGAAAAATGTGCAATACTCCTTAACAGATGTTCAAAACTTAAAGCTCGTGGTCTTTATACTAATTCTCTTGTGCAGAAAAAACAAACAACGAAGAAAAGATCAATAACAGGAAAGCAAACAAAACCTTCGACTATCATGTGCCTGGCTACTACTACTACTCCCATTGGTTTAACTCCAACTTCAACGTAAATGGACTACCATCTAGATTATTAGGTGAAAGAAAGAATCTAGTCATTCATTAGGCTTCAACTATGGAATATGAAGCAAGCATAGATTGTGACTCTTTGTGGGCATCAATGTACAGGCAGCTCTTGTTCCCTGACTTGTTGAAACACATCCTGCGATTAACCTCTCTCACTATGCTCCAAAGACGAGGCGATGGGGGAAGTTACGGTTGGGGTTCAACATTTTTATTTATTTATTTATTGCTGTTTTAACTAGGTAAGACTAACTTTTATGACAAAACTAGTGCATGAACTATGTTGAACAGTTTGTCAACTTCCTGTCTTGTCTAATGTGCTAAGACAAGGAAACTACTAGAACTTGCATGTGCGAGCCTCTGTCCCACACATCTAACCAACTCTCATGGTTCACTAGTTACACGGAATATGATCATTTGTCCATTTGGAGCACAGTGGTTTTTAGGCGATAATCATGGAAAACTAATAGGTACTAGCCTCCTACGTCGGCAAAGTTGTCGAGATTTGACAAATGTTCATTAATAATCAATTAAAAAATTAAGTTAGGACTTCGCTATCAACCCCGAATAACACTCCCCTCACAAGAGGGGAACTTGCAATTATTTTATTGTGTGTGGGCCCCCTCTTGTGAGGGAAGTGTCATCCGGGGTGTCGATCCCGAATGTACAAATAACTTTATTGAATAAGTTATAATCAATTACCTAACTCATTTTCTCTGTATAAATGCTACAAGACAAAAAGAAAATAATAATAATATTTAAAATTTTGCTGAAGTACAAAAAAAATAAAATCCCATGAGACAATCAACAGTTTGAAAAAAATAGTCAAGAATTTTGCAATCTGATGTTATGGAGAAGACACCAAAAAAAAAAAATAATAATAATAAAAAAAATAAAAATATATATATATATATATATATATCCTTTGACTATATTGTTAATTAGTAAAATTCCACATGTGGGTCCCACAATGACCACCACATAGACAATAGTAGATTTCCATATGAATGCTAATAAATACAAAAACAGTGGCATATTTCTCTTTACAGACATGAGTACTGCAGACTACGTGTCTTCTCCATTCAGCCCAAACCATGATAAAGCTTTCAAATTCTGGGTTTTCAATTCCAAGATCAAATTATATAATAAGGTCAAAAAAAGTAAATAATTTCGATTCTTCAAATTCTGGGTCTTTCTATCAAACCCCATAAACAAACGATGATTTCTTTTGCGTTAAATTCCCACAAAAAATTAATTAAAAAGGAAATTGTTAAAGAACATAACACAACCCGTGAATGCACGACGCTGAAAAACCTATATATATATATACGTGAATATAAACATGTTTAGGGTAGAAGGAGAATAAACCTGAACCAGCGAACTATCAGAGAAGATTTATTAAATTTACAAGGATTTGTTCATCACCACTGCTAACTTTTTGCAAAATTCTCTTGCAATCTACTCTGTATAAAGTGTTAGAGAGAGAAAAAAAAGTTAGAGGTGACAGAGAAAAGAGCTCCAGATATTATGGAATGGACAAGGTGGAGGGTTGAATTGAAGTGATGCCTTTCCATTTCCATTTTCCCCGTATTTATAGAGCCATGAATATTTTTTGTATCCCTAAAATGTTCTTGTTTGATGGGTATGAATTGTCACTCTTTGTAAATATTGTAGTGTAACGTTGTTTCGAGTATGTTTTATGCCTTCAATAAATTTTTGATACCGCAATATATATTTTGTTTTTAACAAATGAGAAAACGTCAAAATGCAGACGGTGTCAAAAAAAATTTATTCGTTAAGATTATGTAATGAATCAAATATGTCAAAATTGTAATAATTGACGGTCAACGAAGCAGCAAATTTAGAGCTATGCACTTTGTACATTGAGTAGTGTAGCATGACTCATGTTCACATGGTAATTTAGGTAGCATTAAATAATATATTTATTTATTGCACCTATCATTTGGTACAATAGTCAAATCTATCATTTAATGTTACTTGTGTTGACGCATAATATTTAAAATTCTGGATAGATTGTGTATTTGTTAATTTGTTATTTTAAATTTTCTTAGTTGAAACTGAGAAGAATTTTTTTTCATGAATAATTCATAAACTTGAAATCTTAATTACCAATTGTTAAAAGAATTTGAAATAAGCCCAACGATGAGAATTGATTAAATTAAATAAGTGATAAACTCAAATTAATCTACGACAAACTTAACAATTAAGTAGTGATTGTAAAAATTAGTATTAGAAGAGAATTTATAATGCTACAAATTTTGTGCCAAAAAGATAGCATAATCTTAAGAAATTGACACTATATATATATAATGAGTAATGCTATGCAATGCAACTCATGGTCATACAACAATATAGGTAGCATTAAATGATATGACTACTCCCACGGTCTCATAAAAATAGTTATATTTTCTTTATAATCATATTTTTTATTTGAGAGAGTAGTTAATATATTAGTTTCCTAGTATGCCCTTATTTAATGTGATTTGTTAACACAAATATTCCCTCCGTCTTAGTCCTATTTTTCTTTTTCATCTATCTCAAAATATAGTCTTGATTCTTATTTGAAAGTATAGTTAATATATTAATTTTTTAATATGTCTCTATTTAATGTGCTTTGGTATCACAAATATAAACCACTACATTATTCAATTATAATTGGAACAATAAAAAAAAAAAAAAATCATCTTCCATTACATTTATTCATTTGTATTTCTGTTGGATGACTTTGTAATATTAATTACCTTGATTATTGCATTAAACAATGACTAGTACCAAGAATAGTTTAATTACTTTGAATATTGTAAGCATAATTTAATTACCTTGAATATTAATTGCATTAATGTAAGGGTATATTAGGAAAAATGATAGTAACATTTATTATTTCAACTATATTAACTAAATTTTTTTAATCTATGTGAAAAAAGAGATATGACTATTTTTATGGGACAGGGGAGTATAATTTAGTTACCTTGAATATTAATTGTATTAATGTAGGAGTATATTAGGAAAAATGATATTAAAATTTATTATTTCAACTATATAGTCTAAATTTTCTTCTTAATCCATGCGAGAAAAAAATATGATTAGTTTATGGGACGGAGGAAGAATCTGTTAAATTAATCATTTAATGTTGGTCGTGTTGACGCATAAACATGAGTTTTTATGCATAGCATTATTCTGTATATAAAGTGCTCGATTTCAAACTTGTTCGTGAGATAAATGGGCTGCATAAATCAATTATTGTTAATTTGTTTGTATGTGTAAGTATTATGCCCTAGGTCCAATCGACTTTGGACATAAATACTTTTATATATAATTAATGCAATTAAATGGCAGATCTATTATTTAATTAATAGACAATTAAATAAATAATAGAGTCCGTAGATTCAAATATTGTAATTTGTTAATCACAAAGAGTTGTGATTGTGAGATACAAATTACATCTGATTGAATCTTAAATCATCCGTGGTCGTAAGTAATAACGAGATACGGATATCGTTATTACGGATAGACCATCACGTGTGGCATTTCTTACTTGTGAAGTAAGTAGCTGATCTCACAAGCTAAAGTGTGGTGACACTTAAATGAACACGTGGATGTTTTTGTTATAGAACAAAACATTGGAGACCCGTCGAGAGATTCCACATGGATAACTATCTGAGTGTCGGTGGTTAATCTCTAACGTTCGGTAGTGAAATTGGTCCTTTGACTTGAGGTCGTCATGGTACCTTATATGAGGACAGTCATACTTTGGCGGTGTTGGATGTTGCTCTGAAAAGGGCCGCTAATACGACATCGTTCGGGTACGTCAAGAATCGTATGAAGGTTGTGATTGATCAATA